ATGGTTTGTTCGTTATGTAGAGGTAAAATATACATAGTCTCTTATGGAGAGTTCTAGGGGATTAAAAAAAATTCGTTATATCAAGGAATTCGTTATATTGAGGTTCGTTATATCAAGGTTAGACTGTAACATTATAAATTCTAAAAAAAAACATTTCTATTTCTTCTCCTTGGTGGTGTTCTATGACTTTCCTATGTTTCCATAGTTTGCAAATGGGCTCTTTCAATGATTAATAAGAAATGCAGCACAATGTTAATTCTGTTTTCTTTTTAAGATATCAATTTATCCAGGCTCTCTCACTTTTTTCCATTGTAATATTTACGCCAACCAAAATTCAAATAGTAAAAATTTCATTTCAACAAAGACAGTAAATGTTTGTTGCAAACTGTTAAATTAGCAAACTTATTGACGGTTTACAACATATGTTCTTATTCTCACTTTTAATTTCTGACAACAGCTGGAGTTTCAAAACAATTTTTGTTTCCCATGTTAATCTTATGGAGAAATACAAAACTTTAAAGGGCCCCAGGGCCTCACTCTATAATTATTTCCCTAAAAAAAAAGTTTCCTGCACAACTTCACGTTACGCTCTTTCCAATGAGACCAAAAACATGTCAATCGGTTCAGTAGTTTCGGAGGAGTAATTGACACAAAAATCCTGCTTGCGTATTAAATAAGTAATAGATGATGGCATTTTTAACAATGAAATAAAAATTGGAATGCATGAGTAAGCAGCTAAACAGCTTTAGCACTAACAAAAAAAAAAAACAAAGAAAATAGAGTCGGAAGGTCTAAAACATTTTCTCTTTTTAGTCTGTAGACATTGTTAAGGCCAGATTTATTTAAGTTTCAAAACCATTTTATTTTTAATCCCCTTTGCTTGACCAGAATAGTTTCATTTTATTCAGTCAGTTTACCTATCCATCCTATATCAGTATTCAAATTTGCCGCCATACCCCAACCTCAAATCAAGAGTCACCTGGGAAGTCCACAGGGTCACATGACTTTACTTCTTCAATATGGCTGGAACATTTCTTACTTCTAAGGAACGTGCATCAGCCCTACATCTACTTGTGAAACTAACTCAATCAAGTTACTTACCTGATCACATTGATAAACTTGCTTCTGACCAGACATGTCCTAGTCTTCAGCGGTTAAGTCCATTTTTAGATGAACAGGGACTCATTCGGGTGGGTGGACGTTTGGAAAATTCCCAGCTACCATACAATGCTAAATTCCCTATGTTGTTGCCAAAACAATGTCACTTAACCAACCTACTTATAGACCACTACCATCTCAAGCACTTGCATGTAGGCCCGAGAACCTTGCAGTCACTACTGTCTCAACAGTTTTGGATTATTTCAGCTAGGCAAGTCATCCATCATCGATTATCCAAGTGCCTAGTTTGTGTTAAAATGAAAGCTAACTCCATTCAACCATACATGGGTAACTTACCTGGCTCACGAATTACGCAAAGCCGCCCTTTTCTCCATGTAGGCATTGATTTTGGTGGACCCTTTACCACAAAAACGGACAAGTTGCGCAAACCACAGTTACTGAAGAGCTATGTCTGTTTGTTCATATGTTTTAGTACAAAAGCAATCCATCTCGAGTCAGTCTCGTCTCTCTCTACGGAAGCATTCTTGGCTTGTTTTGATCGATTCGTCTCAAGAAGAGGACTTAATGTGGTTGGCAATCACTTAATTTGAAGACAATAATAAATAACAATTTATTCACTAGTTGATTTGGAATTAGGAATCACGTTTTTATCAAGTATTTCACAGTAAATATTCTCTAATGACCAAATGATTTTATTAAAGTAAAATAATATTTAACTATTGTCAATTGAAAGAGTATTATACCAGCTTGTTTGGACGTCTGGTAAGTCGCAGAAAAGGGGGAGAGGTCTTAAATTAAAGGTCTTGACCCTAGGGACTCAGAAAAAATAGCAGAATTCCCATAAAGTTACCAGAAAACGAGATATAACGTAACATGTTCTCCATAAGAATAGCATTAGAAGCCATTTACTGCAGATTTTTGTTTACTTCAATACAGCTGATTGTGATTTATCATTAAGCCAGTACAGGCCGGACCATAGTTCTAGGCGTCTCGCTGACGCATGCGTAATAACGAATTTGCATTTAATCATATGTTAGCCCAAGTTTTGACAGATGGGGAATTAACACAGAAATTTAATGCGCATGCGTCCGCCAGACGCCTAGAACTTTGGTCCAGCCTGTATGCAATATTAACATTTGAATTAAGTAGCAGAATCATATGAGTAGGCTAAAAAAAGGATTTAACTTAGAATGGCTGAAAAAATATCGAAGTCTGTTTAACATTAAATAACCACATTGACTAAATAATAAACAATTCAAGATTAAATGGAAAACTTCTGCTTTGTTTTGATTTCAAAACACATGTTAAAGGTTTATTCTACACTTTCTTTGTAAATTTACTAACATTTTAAATTTGAGATTTATTGTAGTATTTAACCAATATTTTGTATTATTGTTAATGTTCTAACTAAATATATTTAAAAACTAGGGAAGAATATGGTTGAAATTTTAGGAATAGATAATTTTGGAGCTAACAAATTGATTGGTGGACTTGTAGGCATATGGCAGGAAACTGTAAATGTTGCTGAAAAAAAAAAATTATTTGGCAAATAAAAGTTTTAGCACTGGACTTGTGGGGTTTTAGATCGGGATTACATCTGGGAGCTTTAATCAGTGGCGGCGATAGCGGGCCCGCAAGCTAGGGGGGCCCGTGAGCCTTGACCGGGATTTTCGGTAAATTTTACTGGCACACGGGCCCGCGATAGTGTGACAGGCTCAGCCACACGGGTCCCCTATCATAACAATATTTATATGAGAATTAAAATATGTTTTTTATGATGAAAATTTGTTCAAACCTATAGTTCAAGTAGTTTACAACAGCTAAACTAACACTATTACTTGACCGATCGATATAAATTATCTACCAACTTAGTAAAATAATTGTCATCAGTCTGCGGGTTGCATTAACTGTCCTCGTGGATTGTGTGAAGGCGCAGTCAAAATTGGTTGCATAATAATAGGGCCGTATTTATAACCAATGTGGCCTCTGGCCTAGGAAGATAAAACATTAATGTTAATCCTCCTAGCCCCCAGCGGGTGACACCATAGAGGATCCCCTATGCTGATTTGACTGAATAAACTTGAAAATATTGTTACGACCAAATCGGCAAATTAACCTAGGTGGCTAGGGCACTAGCTAATAAATAATTCCATTCTTTCATTGATGCTAAAGAAGGATTTTCATTTCATTTCATACCTTACTATTAGGAGGCTGCCCTTTAGATGTGTTTACAGAGTCAGGTAAAAAATGTTACTTACCTAAGGGCCTCAGGCCAAATCAGATCGGTTCAAAATCGGGTTGCTTTGGAAACTGTTGATTTTTATAATAGGCCTATAATGTTGATTTTCGAGCCGAGCAGAGCCTGGACTACAAGCTTGAGAGATCAAGCACAAAGTCAGAAAATCAAGCTCAAGCTGATTTTCTCAGTATTCAATACAATAATCAAAATTAAAAGTAGAAGCTTTTATATCCGTGAGGATCACGCTCACGAAATTGAAAGATTACGCCTACGCTTTTGCCGCGATCGCGGATATCGACGAGAACATTTCCCCGCGGGTGACGATGTCTGAGCGGCCGCAAATGTTCAATATTTTGCTGCGATTGCGGAAGACGATTGTGACGTTTCTATTTTAGCGAGAGATATATCTAGGACTTAGCCGCGATTACGGAAAAATGATTTACCCGTCACCACCGACGGGTCGCGGGGAGATATTAGGCCGTGATATTAGATTGGGCCGTGAACGGGGGAGACATTGATGCTGCTATCTAATGATGTCATAGGTTTGGTTGCATTTGCAATCACGGTAAACTATGATAATGTTTCTTCCATCACTTATGACTACGGGAAGTATTTACGATTTTGCCGCGATCATGGAAGACGAAAATGACGCCTCGGGAGATGCCTTGTCAAGTTTATTGCAAAATTGCAAGTTTAGGCGGTAATACATGGGGAAATGGTTTTAAAGATCATTGGGAGAGGGACCCGGTGAACAAACTTGCGGGGGGGCCCCTGGGTTCTTATCGCCACCACTGGCTTTAATTGGAAAAAACTGATATATTTCTCGGAAGTTTCACATCAAGACTTTCCATTCAAGAACGCGGTTGATAGGTATGCTTATGGTTTCAAATGGCTTATGGCTTAAGTTCAAATCCTTTTTAGCTTTATACATATTGTAGATATTAAATTATAACTATCATCTATAACAATGAGCTTGTTTTGCCAAGCAATACTATGTCTAAGGCTGTGTTCATGTTGGAGCTGCGATCCTAGCAATGCGTAGATAATACCGATGTGCTTTCTTACTGGGGGCTTGTTGTTGTTGGTGGGAACTGCGCTGTCCCGACCATCAATGAGGGCAGTATTAATAGCTCAATCCTTTTTTCTCAGCTAGTATCGAGGTACCCCAACATGGATGTAGATAATTTAATATTGCAAGTTTTTATGAGACAAGCATAATGGGACTTGTATGATATAAATCACCACAATAGAAATGTTTTAGACATGTTGTGGAGTAAAATCACTTAAGAATTGAACACAAAATTTGATAGGATGTAGGATGTGTATAATATTCCTTATATTTTATGTCCTTATGAATAACCTTTACTATTTTATGCTAAAATTAATTCTTCTTCTTCAGAATCATTCATTACTAACTCATTTTCAACAAAATACATACTCTTGAATCAACCTTTCAGTGCGAGTGTCGCGGCTACGACATGAACAGCCGATAAAAGTAAAGCGCTACTTTCTACTAGCATTGCTGCTCTCATCGTTGCTACGATTGTTTATCACAGCTTCGACATGAACTTAAACCTTTCTGCCATATCACATTTCTTTCCTTTTGTAGTACTGTATATGCTAAATTCAAGTTTTTTTTAAGGGAGGAAATTGACAAAATATCTGCTGCAACCTCTTCACACCAAGAAAATAAAAAATCTTCCATTATATCAAGAAGTTGCCATCCTTCAAAGCTGAACAGATGGTCAAAAGACTTAGGAGCAAGATCAACCAGTCAGGAAAATGTAAGCTATTTGTGTCTTAATTATTTCTGTCTTACTTAGTAAAATAGGAATATATATTTTATCTATCTTATTTTAAAATTCTTTCTCCAATATTAGTAGTGCCTAATTAAGTGATATCATAGGTCAGTGTATAATTTGTTTTAAGATGGAAACACACCCGAGATCTTTACTCTTTGCTAGAAACATGAATAACAACGTTTTAAAGACCAAAATCATTTTTGGGTACCTAAACAACCATCTACCGGTATATATTTAATACACAGTTGTAAGTCTGTTTTCTCAGGCATTACTGGACCGACCTACAAGATTTATGTCTCAGATTAAAGGGATAATGCATAGATTTGCCGAACTTCCTTAGAATTTACGTTTGTTCTATGGGCTACAACCTACAGCCCTTCAAAGGTCGAGTCATACAATTCTTATTGAAGAATATAATAAACAGTTTATAAATTATTCGTCAGCTGTTTTTTGTTTGTCAGACAATTTGTTATTATTTTTATAACCTCACTTTCAGTATGTATTAATCTAGGAGCCCCGTTGCAAGGCACTGGTAGCGGCTAGTTTTTACATATAAATGTATTACCTACATGAGTATTTTAAGAAATATTGAATATTCAACAATTAACACTTTTGCTGTTTTCTATGCGAGAACGGCCAGCAGAGTTCTGTGTGTGACCTTCAACTGCCAGGGCTATTAGCCATATGACAACCAGAATTGCCAGGCCAAATCATGTGATTTTACAATGTTTTTCTTTAAAAACTTAAAATTCCCATGTAATATATAGATAGAACCTTATTTCTTTTTTTTTAAGATAAATATGTGCTCTAAACACTGATATATATTTAAATGAAAACTGGTCTAAAAAATGATATAAAATAAAAATTTAAATAAAACATTTTTTTCTTCTATAAAATGTTGTCTAAATTACACTTAACACATTAACCAATTTCACAATATTTCGATTTACTATGTTGTTTTGTCATAGTACACCAAATTTTCATTAATTTTGGCCAATAAATAATAGTAAAAATATATCTTAGAATAAAAGTAGTGTTATTGCAAAAATCTGTCATTATAGAACTACACTCTAAAATAAACATACAATAAACAGTTTTTGTATTGTTATATTTTTTTACTGAGATATAATGAACGGTAAGTAAAAGATAAAACTTAAGGAAATAAACAACATAAAAAAAACATAAAATTTTACTTACATATAAGTGAAAGCGGCCCAAGAACTGAAGAATAAAAGTTTGGAAACTCTTGAGGTAGACTCACTTAATCTTGAGAAACACTAAATAAAAGTCAATTCACAAAAATAAAAATGTCAAGTCAATAAAACGTTTCCTTAATATCTACTATTTACATATATGGTTCATTTTTGTTTCTTTTTTTAAACTAAAACTTGCAGTTGTGCAGCGTGACACAGTGCAGACCTCGCTTACACTTGACACAGACAGTCCTGGAGCGCCTCCTCTTTCCCTCTTCATTTTTAGATCCACTGCATTCAATACAATCCTTTTCCCTTTTTCCATCTAACTTTTCCACTCCACACGTTCGATTTCCTTGCCTTTGAACTTTTCTCCTTCTCCGTTCTCACCTCGCGCTTGATTTTTTCTGAAAACCAATCATCTGCTAATGAATCAATGACAGCTACCTGGAATTGTAGCCTGGACATTCGCTTGTCTGATTTCATCTTATAAATTACGTAGCTGTTCAGGCACATTCTTAAAAAAATGTTAAATATAACTTTTTTCCAGTGTTTCATTGTCCTCCTCTCGTCCAAATACGTGTACAACATCTGGTGGTCTGTGCCATTGATGCCCCCCATCCCTTGATTATATTCATATACAATTTGGGATTTGTTTTTGATAATAACTTTTCCAGATCTCCTAATTGAATATATTACATCTTTGGCTTTGGCATTAGTTGACATTAATATGAACTGTGTCCTATTAGTTTTTTTAGGTTTTTCTCTAAATGCCATCTGTAGGATTGGCTCTTTTTGGACGTACACCTTCTTCCCTACATCATATTTCCCTCTAAGCTGTCTGGGAATCCCTTTTGTTCCAACTCGCACTGTTCTGGTCAAATGTGTTTCATTATTGTATAAAATCCTAGCCAGCTTAGTTGTTGTGAAAAAATTGTCCAAATATATATGGAAACCTTTCTTCAAATGGTTTCCCATTTCTAAGAGCTTTTTAACAACAGCATAGCCGACACCAAACTGATCAGAGACACTCCTATCTTCGAATGCAGCTCCTCGGTAACAATAAAATTGAAAGCAGTAGTTGGTTACAAAGTCGCACAACAACCACAACTTGATGCCCCAACGATGATGTCTTTTCTTTGGGATATATTGTTTAAGGGCCACACTTTTTTTGTACCAACCAACGACTCATCTACAGACAGCTTTTGATTAGGGGTATAGAAAAAACTAAACAGTCTTTTGCAATGGTCAATCAATGGTTGAAAACTTCCACATGGATCATAGCCTGGAGTCCCTTGAGGTACTAACGTGTTAGAGTCGACAATGTGAACGAAACAAAATCTGGAATCTGTTCCTCGTTAACATATTTGAAGACCATTTGATGATTTGGGACAAAGAAACAAACCAATAGCTTGGAATTGATGGCTTTTGGTTGATGCCCACATTCAAAACAACTTAAATAAACCACTTCATTTCAGCAATGGTCACATCTACCCATCTCTTGACTCGACTGTTTGGTGACAAGTTATTTCCTCTTGGATGAATAAATCTTGGAGCATATTTGTTTGTTTCTACAACAAATGTGTTTAACAAAGTAGCCGTAAAAAATAGATCAAAGTATGATATCGGAGGACTATTACGGGGGGGGGGGGGGAATGTTTTGGCCCGGTCAGTTCATTGAAAATAAACGAATGTTCAAATCCACGGTCAACGTCATCAAACACTTCTTCCTAATCACTACTTTCTGGACTTGAGAATGACTTTCTGGATTGCTACCTCCTCTATGACGGCCCCTACCACGCCCTGTAGCTCTTCCTTGTTGGTTTACAAGGCCTCTTGTAGCGGTTATAGGACTCCCAACAGGTGCCAGATCATCTGCATCCTCTTCCTCGTCAGAGTCGTCCAAATCAGGCCTTTCAGTGAGATTGCCAGGGTTTGTTGAAAAATTTCCATCCCTGGAGGTCCAAGACAAAATTCATTCTTGGGCGAGGAAATGAAATGTTTTATTTGTCACATAGAATTTACATAATTGTGATACCACACCAGTAAACATGTGACACGTCTAGTGATGTAAAATACCTGGGTATTTAAAACTCGGGGGTAAATACCCTGGGTACCCATAATCCAGAAATACCCGGGTATTTTGGGTATTTACGAAATTGATTGAAATTAATTCATATTTACCCCTTAAATATGTTATTGTTATCATTACATGATAAATTAGGATAGTCTGTAACACCATTTACAGTAACTTGAAGCTTTGCTAGTACCTTTTATTGAATGATTTAGCACTTTTTTGTTATGAAATCAAGACAACACCTCATCAGAGAAATAGTGAACCTAAACCTACTTCTACTGTTATTAAATTATGATAGTTAAAATTTGTATTGTGTAAATGGCTTAGAAGGCTAGACAGACCCAAAGCCTGATTGACATAGGCAGAATGGCAGAATACTGAAAGTACAGTAGACTCCCTCTCATCCGGACTCCTCGGGACCGAGGCTAGTCCGGATAACGGGTTTTCCGGTTAAACCGATGTCCCCAAAAATTTTTTGTATCACAAGTTTATGAAATTAGTTTTTTTTTATACCATTGATACCAACAAAAGATCTAAAACAAAAATATTATTAAATCCTGCCATCCTACAGATTGAATTTTTTAATTATTTTCTTAAGTTGTTTACACATAGGCCACTACTAGGTTAAATTTTCCTGTTTTTCTAAATAATAACTATTACTTTACAAATTATTTTTCTTCACTTTTAATAAAATAAATTCATCTATTTATCATTGAAATTAAAAAAAAATATATATAAGTAGTCAGTACCAGTGCAACCATGCGACCAGGGTATTTATGCTTTATGCTCAGACCTGGGTATTTATGGCGATTATACCGAGAAGTAAAATGCTAGTAGTGTCCAAATGAAATTTTGTTTAACACATTTTATTATCATTTTACTATCCTTACAGGGTAATAATTGCAAAATACCCCCGCCGCAGCAAACCTGCAGACTAAGCGAATTTCCATTTGACTGATTTGATTTACACTGAAATGTCTACTTACAAATATAACATTTATTCCCGATTTCAATAGAATTAGTTTAACAAGTACTTAGGTTTGCTGCATCAGGGAGGGTAAAACTGTTTTTTTTTTTTTGTAAAATGTTAATAGTTAGTAAGAAATAAAAACATTTTCCAAATTTGATCAAAATATGTTCATAAACAAGCAAACTACAACAGTTTACTTATTCTCCATAAGAATAACATGGGAATTTTAAATTTACAATTTTTTGGAATTTTCTCCGTATCCATTAGGCGCATAATAACACTTCAATATACTAAATTATTTGTTTTTTTAAGCTCTACAAAATGGTTTGGAAAGAAATTGCTAAATTTTATGTTTTTTGGGTCAAAAATGGGAAAAACCTATTTTTACCCCATAAAACCCCCCGTAAACCCCCGTTCCCATGGTCCGATCATGCTGGATCGCGAACTCCTTTCGAATAAACATAGGTTTACACGTTTATACCAAATTTCATCAAAATCGGATCATTTTTGCTCGAGTTATCGTGCTAACGGACACACATATATATATAAATATATATATATATATATATATATATGAATTTGAACGGATGGTGTTTTTGGCCTCTAGGGACCTCAAAACGAAAAAAAAAATCGGTCCCGCGTCCAGGTCTTACCATGAGTACTACGGTAATAGCTTATTCCCTATATGGGAAATTCGCTAAAAACATCTCAATCTTCTCTAACTTTAATACAAATTATAAATACCCAGTTTTTGGGTATTTACCCAGGCCTGGGGTAAATACCCAGGTAAATACCCAATTTATATTTACCTACCCACTGGGTATTTACCCGGCCCACATCACTAGACACGTCAGATTTTCACAATTATATTATATATTTTATTTCATTGTAGTTAGTAATATATTAAAAATAAGGTCAGAAGTTTAAAATACAACAAAAAGAGCGACGTTAGTTACAAAAACAATTCTTCAACTGAATAAGGACAAAGTAGTTCCAAATGTTCCCTAAGTAGTTTTTTTTTAAATATCCATCTTTTCTGTCGATTTGATTTTGTTAGGGAGGTGGTTGAATAGCTTCCTACCCAAGGCAAGGCTAACTGAAATCAAGGTCTTGAAGTAGGACTTGAATCATGATCAGGATCCTCGTCCGTGTCGTCGACCATTTTGTCACTACTCCCTGTCCCAGAAGAGTCAATGTCATCTAGTGACTTGACATCACTATTTTCATTGTTCACATAATTTACACCACTTTCACACAAATTGTGTCTAAGCATTCTCTCACTCACAGGAGAATGTGGCTGTTTATTATTAGGCCTATTAATCTTGAAACAAACCACGATAGTTATCAAATATCTCAGTAATGCTCAGGAAACACACAATACAGTACTGTATAAACACAAGGCAGCTGGTTTACATAAGCCTAACTGTATAAACACAAGGCAGCTGGTTTACATAAGCCTAACTGTATAAACACAAGGCAGCTGGTTTACATAAGCCTAACTGTATAAACACAAGGCACGCTGGTTTACATAAGCCTAACTGTATAAACACAAGGCACGCTGGTTTACATAAGCCTAACTGTATAAACACAAGGCACGCTGGTTTACATAAGCCTAACTGTATGAACACAAGGCAGCTGGTTTACATAAGCCTAACTGTATAAACACAAGGCAGCTGGTTTACATAAGCCTAACTGTATAAACACAAGGCACGCTGGCTTACATAAGCCTAACTGTATAACCACAAGGCACGCTGGTTTACATAAGCCTAACTGTATAAACACAAGGCAGCTGGTTTACATAAGCCTAACTGTATAAACACAAGGCACGCTGGTTTACATAAGCCTAACTGTATAAACACAAGGCACACTGGTTTACATAAGCCTAACTGTATAAACACAAGGCACGCTGGTTTACATAAGCCTAAGCCATAACATAACACCCAACAGCATTATAATAATAAGGTATTCCCGCTAGATTGACAAATCACGTGTACAAAAAATTGGTTCCACGCAGTCTGAGAGCGGTAGACAGCATGACACCCAATGCCACAGCCATCTGTATAACACTCATGACTTTAGAATGCTATATGAAATTAATCCACTCTTTTTTTGTTTACCAACGCATATTTTTCAAGTACTACAACTCTTTAGCTTTAATTTGAGTAGTAGTAAGAAAATTTACTGGTGAATATGCGTTTGCTACAATGAATTTACAAAATGCCAATTAGATCGGCAGCGGGCATTTCTCGCGCAGACGTCAGGCGCCGATGTCATCGGCAGCTGGCATTTCTCGCAATGGAAGGTGATGCCAATCACATTGGCAGTTGGCACTTCTCGCGATGTAATTAAAAGCCGAGCTAGTCGGCTCTTGGCACTCAAAGGGTTAAAACTAAATGTTCTGAAGAAATTGCATTTTTCATGTACCTTCTCAGCTGTTGACTGTTGCGTTGCCGGGTGTCGAGTTAGTGAGGTTTTACTGTAGCATTTTAAAAATGTTCTGTCTATTTTGTTCTGTTGGTTAAAAAAGAGTAATCTATTTAACTGTCATAACCTTAAAATTATAAATGGGTACTTTGTAAACCGTGAAAATACCTGAATGAGCGGTGAATTTTGCAGATAACTTTATAAATATGGATGGGGCCTGTCACCATTATCTTCCTAAAACGTTAATTAAACATAGTGACTTTGAATTCAATACCGATTCCAGAATCTTAATCATATACCATCTATTAAATTTGTAATAAAATCATGGTAATCAACCGAGATCACAGCAACATTACTAATTTTTGATTGTGCAAAATATGCATATAATTTTTCATGTTTGCTATAACATAATGCAAAGAAATAATGCAAAGATTCTTGCAATCTAGTGTAAAAATGTTACAATTTGTTTTTGTTTTTAACACCTAAGTGGCGTCTCCATCTTGATTTTTAATAATAATAATAATCCCTTTTAAAAATATCCAGTAACATTTTAAATGTAAGGATACTTTATTTTATGGACAAATCATCTTTATGAATAAATCATACATTTAACTTTTTTAAATTGGTCTGAGAATAATTATTAAGTAGGCCTACACCTTCCTAGTTAATTATAAACTGGTTTTTATTCAAGGCTGTCGACTGCATTCAGCAACGTGTTTGTACTGCTTCATCTGTATCCAGCATAAGATCCCTGACCCTTATTAAGATCATAGACATATTTAGATTTGACTTGGAAAACACCTGAATAATATTTCATCATATTGTCCTGAAAACAGCCTTTTTAGTTCCCTAAATTGTCTGCAAAATCATCTTTTTCAGGTAACTTTTAATAGGGAACAGAAAAAATATAGGCCTATGGTAAATTTTTCGGTTTGCTAACCTCAACCTTTTTTAAGGCACATTATAAAATTATGTAAACACTGCTAATTACATTATTTTTATGTTTTGTTTGTAAACAACAGAAATGTAAACATTGATGACGACTTTGGATAACCTTGGATTAGAAAGTCAATTCCATGATGAAAATAGTTCTTGATCACACAGCAAAAGTGTCTTTTTGGTACTTTATTATATTTCCTAGCTCGGCTGCGCCTCGCTTGTAAGACACGTTTGCGTACCAAAAAGAGCCACTTTCGCTCCTAGTGATGAAAACTACTATTCTAGATTGAATGGGAACCCTGTAAAAGTTAAGCTGTTGTAATTACAGTTTTTCTATGTGATTTATCTTCTGCTTGGTTAATAATATGATTATTTTATGTTCAATTAGGATTTAGATGGCTGGCTTTCTCATCAGTATGAAAACAATGTAAATATCAAATCCTGCTTAAAAAAGAAGAGTAAAAACCAAACCCAACCAAGTCACTCAAAAGATGGGGATAAGGAACATGTTATATATGATGAGCCACCCCTGTCATCTCATCAAAGGGAAAAGAAAAATCAGTCAAGTCTTCTAGATAGAAATCCAAGTGAATCTACTCTTGCAGGTGAAAAAGTTAAATTCGTATACAACTCGCCATAAAAAATCTGTCTGCCATCATCTAAAAACATATTTTTCAAAGATATTTTTAAGTTTTAAGTTTTAAGTTTTAAAATTAGTCTAATTCGTCCTTAACTACTCATAACATCAAGCTATTTCGTTTACTAGCTCTAATAACAAGTTTTGTACACACTGGGTTGTTTTCACTTACTCACACATTACAATGTTATAACATTATATACATTATTATAATATTATCTATTCTATGTATAATTCAGTTTTAAAAATCTTTGTACAACTAAATCTAGAGTTCTACTGGACCGATTTTATTAATTAACTAGCTGTGTGCCCGTTCTACGCACGGGGATCTTATAGTAGTCAGTTGAAACCTTCTTATATTAAGAACAGCAGTTGGTATGCTGGCAAAACTATTACCGGTATTTATACACCTTCGCAAATACAGTATCTGACAGTTTCAAGCCAAAACAAACGCTTCGCAATTAAATGTCATGTCACCCCGTATGTTAGTCCATTATGTTAAATCCAATGATTAAACTAAAAAAGCTTTATAGGCCTACTATGAGAAATAGATCTATGAGTCATAGCCCTAAGGTAGGCATATAGTTGAAAGTTACTTTCCACAATGGTTAAAAGTATTTAAAGTACTACCTCAACCTCACCATTTAACACTTTATTCGGAACAGACATATAATTATCACAACAGACATTTTCATTATCAAAGGTGCTCAACTTGTCCTTTTCGTGACACTAAGAAATAAGGACATTAATGCGTTACCAACAGACATACACACAAAAATACAGAACTTAATTAGGGAATTTGTTACGTTTTAAGCATAACAAAGTACATATAAAATCAATATTTGAAATTTTTGTCAATTTCATCAAATTTTATCATAACAATTTATATTTGCTTGGACCGAAGATGACGCGAAATGCTGTCGAAATGACTGCTTACTATATGAAATGAAGTACTATAGACGATTTAGATTGGTAATTTATAATACAAATTACCAAAATAGGCCACGAACTATTAATACATAAACAACGTAAATCGTAAACAATTCACGATGGTTTGCTAAACAAATGTTTTACTTAAATGAGTTATCATTTTCTTAGCATAAACTAACATTTTGGAATCCAGGCAGAAAAAGCAAAACTTATACAGTTAAGACATCAACTAAACTGAATACGACTGTATAAATAAGGTGCAATACCAACGATAACCAATTTGTAAATTACGGTGATGTGTTGGTACGTAAAAATGATTCTTGCTGCTACCAATGGTTCTAAGTAAAAGAACCAGTACCAAAAACCAACGTTTACAGTTAGCAACTAAAGTACATTCGACCAATTAAATGCGTTAATCAAGTCCCAAGGTTATTGATTTCTTGGTTTTGAATTTTATCGTTAAAAGTTATCGGCAATCAAAGTTATTTCCCATTAATTGCTTTATTCGTAAACAACTTTTAATGTAGGCCTAAACTTATTGGTGTCAGTTTGAAAAAAAAAAAAAACTTTATACTAACAACTTTTTGTTATTTAATAGATTATGTATTCTCTAAACAATGATTGGTATATCTATTAACATTAGAAAGAAATGTGACAAAAATCACACAATGCTGGGTTTTTGGACGTTTGTAATTTTATTTCTTAAGTAGGGAGGCCGTGTATTCTAGGGAAAAGTACCGGTATCAAGGATCGTCATCAAAAAGGTTGTTATGAATAATTGGGTATGCGTAAGTACCCAAGAGATGGGCTATGGGCCTATTGGCTGTATGGTCCAGCGATTGCATCACACGGTGAGTAGGAACAGAAAGTGACACATTGGAAAAGCGAGGTTAGCATCATCCATAAACCGTAAACCTCTGTTAATCACCCACTGCAGTTGTTTACTTTACACTTAACACAACCGCCATTGAAGCGCCGTCAATGAGTGGAAACCTTGTTTGTAAGCTATTGGCGACGATCATTAATAAATAAAAGTTTCCCAGCCCTATACAATACTGATTCAAGGTCTTCTTTCTGGTTATCTAACCTCAAGAACAATTTTATACACAAAGAATATCTGGTTCCTGACCTGGATGACGCCTAGTTATTTAATTTCATTTACGGTTACACTATATTATTCCACTTGCGATTAATTAAATCCGTTATGTAAGAAAAACGTTTTTAATCTTACTTGGTTAGGATTTGCCTTCAAAATGTGATCGGAAATGGTTGTGGTATTTGTAAACAACATTTGTAAACATATCAGTGACAGCTAGAAAAAACAATCTTGATCCGAATGGCTGTTCGTTATTTCATAGACGATTATGTGATACAAATTGGACGAAAACTTGACAAAAATCGCACAAAACTGCATTTTTGAACGTCCGTAATTTTATTTACAAAGTAGTGAGGTCATATTTTAATGGCTAAAGACACTCTCGCCAATCCAGTAAATACATTAAAATGACTTGGATCGTGATAGGTACTCTCGTTTTCCTGGAGAAGATTGCGTAAAATGCCATCTTGAGTGTTACAGAAAGACAGACAGACAGAAATTTAGATGAGACTTGTTTCGGCTTCTTTAATGTATAAAACGTAAAATTAACCTAAAACTTTATGATTCTGAGCAATGTACAGACAAAACTCTAATTTTATTTATATAGATGGGTCGTTGGAAAGCTTAAGTCGTGTAGATTTGCAAATAATTATGAAAGTTTGTTTTTGTTATGATTTATGGTGAGAAATTTTTAAAAAACATGTTTTCCATAAGAAATACATTGAAAACGGTGTTTTTCACTCTTTTTATTTGGGTGCGACTTTTAGCTGCCATTTTTTAATATTTACTAGAAGTGCATGGTATCAATTTGTAGGAAATTTTTTTCTCTTTCAGAATATCACCTTCCACTTTGGTCGATTTCCTCACTATTTAAAAGTTATTTGCAAAAAAGCTAAGCAACCTCCGAATTTATGGTAATGAGAAAATATTGAGTTTGGGATATTTTTGTTAAACTTTGTACAACTAAATCTAGACTTCTACTGGACCGATTTTGTTAATTTATGGGTCATTAGAAAGCCTAACTCAACTAGATTTGCAAATAATTATAAAATTGTGACTTTATTAAATATTTTTGGTGAAAAAGTAAAAATAACAAAAATACATTAAAAACTGCGTTTTTCAAGTTTCTGTTTTCAAGATTCTATTTGTAGCCAGCTTTTGGCTGCCTTTATTAAGTGTTTTCAAGAAATGCATAAAAGTTATTTGTAGGAAATTTTATTCTCTTTCAGAATATCACATTCACTTTGGTCGATTTCCCCTCCATTTAAAAGATATTGGCAATAATCTAAGTGATCTCCTAATTTATAGTGGTGAGAAAATACTGAATTAGATATATTTTTGTTAAATATATAAATGCATTATTAAAAACTAATTACCCTTTTTGTAATTGTATCAAAATAGTAGCCCTAATCACTTCAGTTTTCTTAATTTTTGTTAAAATTTGTACAACTAAATCTAGACTTCTACCGGACTGATTTTGTTACTTAATGGGTCGTTGGAAAGCCTAATTTGTGTTGATTTGCAAATAATTATGAAAGTTTGATGTTATTAGATATTTGAGATAAAAAAATAAAAATAAAAAATAATACATTTAAAACTCCTTTTTTTCCAAGTTTATATTTCCAATTTTATATTTGTAGCCTACTTTAGGCTGCCTTTATTGAGTATTTCCAAGAAATACATGATAGTAATTTGTAGGAAATTTTATTCTCTTTCAGAATATCACCTTCCACTTTGGTCGATTTCCTCGCCATTTCAAAGTTATTTGCAAAAACGTTAAGCAACCTCCAAATTTATAGTAGTGAGAAAATACTGAATTAAAGATTTTATGGTTAAGCTTTGTACTATTAAATCTACAGTTCTACTGAACCGATTTTATTAATTAATAATGTTATTGGATAGCCTAATTTGTGAAGATTTGCAAATAATTATGAAAGTACTGTTGAAGTTGCAAGCAAGATCGTTTGGCTATAAATCGGTGATAAATACCTCAATTTTTTGAACAATTTGTGTTGGTCGTGATTTAGCTGTGTGCTTTAAAATGAAATGGAAGCTGGTATTTCAATGAAGGTTCTTAGGTCAAAACAGTATGTGATTCTAATGTTATGTGCTTAAACTGTACCATTAATATTAGTGAGTAAAGTGGTGTATGGATTTCATAACCATTATTTTACTAGAGACCGTTGTATTTAACCACAATGGGCACTGTTGCTAGTAACATTACATAAAACAAATCAACATATTCTGACTTCAGTATGACTAAAATGTTTTTGAAGTAAAACTATTGTAACTGTTTTCAAAAGTAAGCAGGATTAAAATAAAAATCCTACCTTAAATTATATATTTGGGTCTTAAATTTTAAAATTCTTGTCTTGATAGTGACTAAGGTTCTACGCATAAATCTTCTAGTTAGAAGTTATCACCAGTGGCAGCTGGTGGGTTAAATTAGTGGGAGGGCGCTTATGGTTTTTTTTTTTGGGTGGTTACTGATATCGGGGAGTTTAGTTAGAAGTTAAAAAAACGAGTTATTTAAATGTTGTTTTTTTAGGATTTTTTTGAGAGGATAGCAGGCTTACCTGAATGGGAAAGAGTCCAAACTGGCACAGGAAACACAAAACAAAACTTTACACTATATACACAAAACATTAGAATATTTCACTGTCACTGACAGCATTTTCAAGTTGAAAATTTCAACTAAGGAAGAGAGTTTTCTAGATGTCCAAAATGGTGGCCAGTGAGTTGTTGAGTCAGTGTTGCCAATAGTATGAATTCAAAAAACACAGTTTCAGTTTATCTTATATGCACTATATATATATGAATGAATATGTAAGCCTGCTAGTTGGGTTGGAGTGGAGTGGGTTAGATGAAAGGTATTATCTAAGGTTTAGGTTTATACTAAATACATACCTTAATTTAATTGTTTGAAACAGAAGTTCATCCGCCGGTCCTTCTGCTCCAAGAAATGTGGGATGACAAGCTCGTTGAAATTGAGAGTTTTCAAGGCCCTTCTCAATTCTAGTGCATTCAACAAAAAAAAAAAAAACAAAAAAAAAACATGTAGCTTCCTTTACTATCCGTCCTAAGAACATTGACCCTACTGACGTTTATGTACATTGAATGTAGGATTACAAATTATTTTGGGGTATGTTATTATTATTTTTTTTTTATGGGAGGACTCCGTCCCAGAGCCCTTATGGACCAGCCGCCACTGGTTATCACTGTAAAAAATCTTTCACAAAAATCTTTTCTTAGTTAAAATTTGTATTATGGACTTAATTAAAACAAGCCCCAGTAGAATAGATAAATTCCCTTATACCTAAAAAGTTAGCGTTTTGACTAATTTTATAATTATTCCTCTATGTTACAACCACTTTGTAAGACAGGACTCAGTAATCCAGAAATTACTCATCCAGTACTCATTCGAAACTTGTCGGAATAACAAAAGTGTCTCCATTTTCATCATCCTGTCTTAAAAACCTACTTAACTAGGATTGCTTTCATAGCAGTGAAAGCCAGTTAAGCCCTGATCAGGTTTCATGGTTTATGTTTTTAATAAAGCAATAAAATAATAAAAAATTATAGATATAATATAAAATACAACTATTTCATCAATTTAACTTATCAGTTTCGCTTAGAACTATCAACATCTATAATAAGTTTCATAAGTAAAGATGTGGACATTACATACAAATCCTTTGTATCAACATTATTCCTGTGTTTGCTTGCTAATGTCATCTGGTAACCCACAGTTCTGGTTGAACCCCAATCGACATTTTCTCAATCTTGGCCAGATTTAGCAATTCAGGCAGAAATATAAAAGCATTGTTTTTGTTTTCAATTAAGTGTTCTACATTGAACTACCTTAAAACATTACCAGAAGAAGTTGTTCTTGCGTTTCGGGCGTTGATTGCTAGTCTTCTTTTTCTACAAATATCAGGTAGTTCTTGAGAATGCATTCTGAAATTTTCATTAATATTATAATATTATGCGAATTAGGCATTTTCTTGTAAAACAAAAACGCAAAAAATACTTTTTTGTCATACTGTAGCAAAAACAACCGTTTTTAATGCTTGCGTTTCGGGTCTTAAGTAGCATTTTTATTTTTAGTCTCAAGGAAGTAAAAATCTGCTGTTGTAAACAGTTGTAAATTTTGATTGTGGCAATCGTATCGATGACTCACGGTCACGACGGGATCGACGGTATGACTACGGGGTCACGGCGTGATCGTCGAAATGACTCCGCGGTCAAGGTGTGATCGTCGGTATGACTCACGGTCTCGGCGGAATCGTCGGTATTACTCCGCGGTCACGGCGTGATCGTCGAAATGACTTCGCCTCCTGCGTTCACGGAACTATCGTGAACATCTCTCGCAATAACGGCATTATCGTCACTCGCGAAACAGCAAAATCACCGACGATCATATTAAATCCCGTCCCGAAAACGGGGAATATTTTTTTCCCCGAAAATTTCCTCAAATTTCGGGACCTGTCCATCCCTAGACATTTTCCAAAGTTTTACAACTACAATAAAATTATTAACTAATGAGTAAGTGTTGCAATGTAAACAGTCAAAACTGTGGTATTTAATATTTACTTTGGAACACTGAAAAGCAGGTGAATGAATATGAATAACCTTTGACTTGCTACCGTTAATTATAAGGCCATTATCATGATACCATTCTAACAAGTTATTTACTGCACTCTGCATATGTGCTTCAGCCTCTCTAATGTCTTTCTTGGCAACCACAATAGCAGTATCATCTGCATACATGTATGTATTAGCCTTTTTAATATATTTGGGAAGGGTATTTGTATATATAATGTATAATAAAGGAATAAAGGCCCAAGAATCCTTGAGGCACACCTGACTCAAGTCTCACTTCTACTTCTTCACTTGTAATGTCTTCTATTTTAACTATCAATTTTCTACATGTCAGATAATCTGAAAACCAGTTAAGAAATCTACCTCTTAACCTGTTAGGAGTATAGGAATACTCCTTAACATTTCTATTATCTTTTCAAATTGCAGCGTGTCAAAGGCTTTTGTTAAATCTACAAATGTAACCAATATGTGATTTCCTTTATCTATCTCTTTATTTACATTTTTAGCAAATGCTTGCAGTAATAACTCTGTGCTTTTGTTTTTCTGAAACCCATATTGGCACTTATCTATAATGTTATTCTCTGTCAGATATCTGTTCAGGTTAGGGATATGTATCATTCCATTATTTTATCTATTTCACATAATATTGATATAGGGCGGTAATTTTGATATAAATTGTGGCATCCTGATTTATAAATTGGTCTTACAATAGCTGTTTTAAGTCTGTTTTAATTCTACCCTCTGAAAGTGAATTATTTATAATATTGACTAAAATTTCTGAGACATTGACACTACATTTTTTTAAGTCTTCAACTCTAATTCCATCAACACCTGGGCTTTTTTCTTTAATTTCATTACAATCACTGTACATTACTTTCTGTGTCTTGCTTTTTAGCTTTTCGGATATATATATCTATATATGTTAGTTTAATGACGCTATTTAAGACATATTGTCTAAATTTGAATAAAGAATATTTGATATAGCGAGGTGTTTTGTATTAATTCCTCAGTTTGTTCAACATAAATTAATTTAACATGGCATTTATGAACAATACTATTTATTTCAGTTGTAAAAGTGTTTGAAAAATTATCACATATCTGTTTCAATATATGATATATTCTAACATAAGATAAATAATGTTATTTGTTATAACCTTATTTAGCTACGTAAATCAAATCTGTAAAATACTGTACCTATTCGATCAGTGGTCGTTTCCTAATTACGGCTTGAATGTAAACTTAAGACTCTCTGTATTATTTTATTTGATCAAAATTTCATCATCCAAATTTTTTTCCTTTGTTCTGTGTTTAGGTCGTGGCTTGATTTTAACATATGTTATGGTTCTTTGTAGGGATGGACGGGATTGAATTTTTAGTTCGGGACGGGACGGGACGGGACGGGATTTTTTTTCTATGCATAAAAAGAAAGTACTGTATTGCAGTTACCAAAAAAGACATACGAAATCAATTTTTACCATTTGTGGCACTGATCTATAAAAATCAAAAAATGGGTAACAATTTACAGGTACCTATAGAAACTTGTGACTCGCGGGTCACGGGGTGATCGTCTGTATGACTCACGGTCACGGCGCGATCGTCGTCATGACTCGCGGTCACGGCGCGATCGTCGGTATGACTCGCGGTCACGGCGCGATCGTCGGTATGACTCGCGATCACGGCTCGATCGTCAGAATGACTCCGCGGTCACGGCGCGATCGTCGTCATGACTCGCGGTCACGGCGCGGTCGTCGGTATGACTCGCGATCACGGCTCGATTGTCAGAATGACTCCGCGGTCACGGCGCGATCGTCGTCATGACTCGCGGTCACGGCGCGGTCGTCGTCATGACTCGCGGTCACGGCGCGGTCGTCGTCATGACTCGCGGTCACGGCGCGATCGTCGTCATGACTCGCGGTCACGGCGCGGTCGTCGGTATGACTCGCGGTCACGGCGCGATCGTCGGTATGACTCCGCGGTCACGGGGTGATCGTCTGTATGACTCACGGTCACGGCGCGATCGTCGTCATGACTCGCGGTCACGGCGCGATCGTCGGTATGACTCGCGGTCACGGCGCGATCGTCGGTATGACTCCGCGGTCACGGGGTTATCGTCGGTATGACTCGCGGTCACGGCATGATCGTCGGTATGACTCGCGATCACGGCTCGATCGTCAGAAGGACTCCGCGGTCACGGCGCGATCGTCGTCATGACTCGCGGTCACGGCGCGGTCGTCGTCATGACTCGCGGTCACGGCGCGATCGTCGGTAAGACTCCGCGGTCACGGGGTTATCGTCGGTATGACTCGCGGTCACGGCATGATCGTCGGTATGACTCGCGATCACGGCTCGATCGTCAGCATGACTCCATGGTCACGGCGCGATCGTCGGTAGGACTCCACGGTCACGTCGTGATCGTCCGTAGGACTCCGCGGTCACGGCGCGATCGTCGGTAGGACTCCACGGTCACGTCGTCCTCCGGCATGATCGTCGGTATGACTCGCGATCACGGCTCGATCGTCAGCATGACTCCATGGTCACGGCGCGATCGTCGGTAGGACTCCACGGTCACGTCGTGATCGTCCGTAGGACTCCGCGGTCACGGCGCGATCGTCGGTAGGACTCCGCGGTCACGGCGCGATCGTCGGTATGACTCGCGGTCACGGCGCGATCGGCGGTATGACTCGCGGTCACGGCGCGATCGTCGGTAGGACTCCGCGGTCACAGGGCGATCGTCGGTAGGCTATGACTCGCGGTCACGGCGTGATCGTCGGTATGACTCCGCGGTCACAGCCCGATCGTCGTTATGACTCCGCGGTCACGTCGTAATCGTCGAAATGACTTCGTCTCCTGCGTTCGCGGACCTATCGCTCACAATAACGGCGTTATCGGCACTCGCGAAGCGGAAAAATCGCCGACGATCGGACCAAATCCCGTCCCGAAAAATTCCCGAGTCAAATGTAATCCCGTCCCGATAATCGGGAATATTTTTTTCCCGAAAAATTCCCGAAATTTCGGGACCCGTCCATCCCTAGTTCTTTGTTTTGTTTACATAAGTTTGCATTGAAGTCGATCCCAAAGAGCTTTGCTTCGCTCCGCTCAATAAAAATAAAAACTGTAATTGTAATTGCAAAATTTGTCGGGCATTGAAAGTTATATTTGGCTAAGTTAAGTAACAGCTGATTTTAGCAAAACATGTTTTACTCTTTGTTCTAGATTGTTTTAAAAAACAACTGACTGATGGAGTCACACAGGCCAATAAACTCAAACAGAAAAATAGAGAGTCAGGTTGTCAGTGTCCGTGTCAGGGCAAATGTCAGTGCTGTTCCAAAGCAACAAAAAACACCAAGAAACAGGAACCTGTAGGATACTACATCATATTTGATGACCCCAAGAAGAACAAATCTCAAATGGTAAGAAAAAACTAAAGATCTTGGAAAATATCTGTTAAGCAATAAATTTAACAAGCAAAGACTCAGTGATCTAGAAGCCACAAGTTTAGGATCTAGATTAGGCTCAAGTTCTGTGTAACAAAATGTTAATTCTGTAATTTTTACTTTCTTCCCCTATGAGTATATACATCCCAAAAAAGTGCTTTTCGAAATGATGTCTGCATGCGTGTGTGTGTGTGTGTGTGTGTGTGTGTGTGTGTGTATTATGAATGATGTGTTGACTTAATATTAGTATTTTATGTAGTCTTTTTAGTTTTTAAGTTTTATTTTTAGCACTGTACTTGACAATTTCACCTGTTACGTCAGCTTTGCTGAATTTTATGTAAGGTAATGTGAAAATAAAGGATTGACTATTTAAATTTTTTTGTATTTTATTATGTTCTTGATTTCATTTAGGAAGGAAATTGGTTTGAAGATTCAAGGATTTTCAGACCCATGGAAGAACGCAAACAAAAGCCCGCAAGGCTGCAAAAAGAAGGACAAATCAAAAGTACTAATGGGAATGAGATGAATAAAGCAGCCATAGACAAGATGTCAAATATTACAGAATGTTTCAGTTCTGGCTCAGAACACTCAAGTGATGAAAGTGTAAATGAGAGAAGCAAGAGTGATTCGGAAAGTAAAAATCAAATTTTTAAGGTATGGTTGTTGTATGATTTCATTCTATGTAAAGGGCTTTGTTGCACAAATATAACACTTTCAATGTAGACGAATGTTACTAGAACTTAACAACAGTGCGTCACAAGTAACTGGTTATTCGTGGCACAGACCATGTTGTTGTTCTAATTTTGATAATTTTTTTTACACAAAGAATTGTTTTATAGATATATCAAAACGGAACTGTTAAAATTTCCAAATCTTTGAAATTTTTTCTTAAAGAATTTTTGCTAGAGGTTCTTTCTAAATTTAGGATGTGTCTTATAGCTTCCATCTGTAATAATAAAATTCTTTTTAAATTTTGATTACTCGTACCCCCATAAATGTCAATGCTATAAGATATATGGGAGTGAATATGGGCATAGTAAACTGTTTTAACCAAGGGTTTGTACATTGCAAAAAGGTTGAAGTCAATAAAGTCTATTAATTATAAAAATTCCAGAGCTTATTTTCTTACAAACATGATCGGCATGTTTGGACCAGTTTAACGTTTTTATCAACTATTAGACCTAAAAACCTGGTAGTATTCTCAAAGTTATTAAAAATTTAATTGTTTTTTTAATTTTTACAAGAAAATTTAATCAAAGTAGTTTTGTTCTTATTTAGTTGAAGATTTTGATCATTGAGGAAAGTATTTACAATTGAAATGGCATTTTCTATTTTGGATTCTATACTGTTTGTACTTTTGTCATGTATTAACATACTGATGCCGTCTGCATATACAAGAACCGATCCTTGATGAACCGAATATTGTACCTGCCTCAACTTAGATTTTATATTGTACAAATTTTGCTTCTCAACAAATCAAATGTTGCATTTTGCTTCTCAAACACTGTTGTTAAGAAACAAATCTACATGTAAAACTTAAAAAAAAAAAAAAAAACAGCTTTTCTCTTGAAGATTTAAAACTTATTTAAACATTAATAATGATCCTAACATTGACTATAATAACTATATCGTCAAAATGAAGTTCAGGCTATACAGTATAATTACGGACTTTTTGATTGTGTACTAAGTTGTTGTGCAGCTATAAAGTTTTTATTTGATTGATCCCTTTTTGACTTACGTTATACATTTATTTATACAATAAAGGTTTGCAGTTGGCATATTTACATGAGAAGTCGCCCGGGTTCCCCTAGGTTGAATTTAAATGTTTACATTTTCACTTTTTGCTTTAAAATAGAGGTATTTATTTGTTGCATGCTTTAGTAAATAATTTTGTCTCTGATACTCTGCACCATAGCAGTATATTTTCGTTCTTATTTTATCAAACTTATACAATAATTATTTTGGTGTTTGTCATGTTTTCATAGAAGAAACTAAAAAAAATTGGTCAACCCTTTGAGTGCTATGCAACGATATATCGTTGTTTACTAAAATCTCTAAGGGATATAGAGAGGAAGGTTATTTATAATAAAAGTAGCAAAACGGCCTTTGGTGACCTGCATGTTCAAAGGATACACTAACAACCACTTAGTTAACAAGATTCGCCCAATCCGATGATTCGATGTGTATATCCAGTCACTGCAACTGGATCCTGGTCACTGCCACAAACTTTAATCAGTACAGTTCACCTTTGTACTGTACCGGCTCACCCCTTGCTTTGCTGGATACGTTCCACGCACAGATCTGTAGTCTATGTGGACGGGCAAATGCAAGGTTAAAAGAGGCCGCCAACCTCTTTAAAAATAAAAAAAATAAAAAATAAAAATAAAATATATATATATATAAAACAACGATTATGATTACCTCACTATGCCCCAGTGGTTGTAGTATATCACTACAAACACACAGGGCACCAATTATTTGCCACACAGGACGGGAATCGAACCCGAGACGAATGCCATTGACAAGTGACACACGCCCTAGCCTTCTCGGCTATCTGTGCTTAGAGAATATGGAGTCAAAACTGGTATTTAAGTTGACGTCAACAATTGCTAACAGATAGCGCACCCGACGGCGCTACAACCTAGTTGTTCAATGTGTTACTACTAGATAGCAGCACTAGTTAGTCACGCACGGGCCACACAAACTATTTAGATGATATTTTTTAGTTGAACCACAACAGTGAGCATAAATGTTGTTACTGACAAACAGGTTTTTTTTCTAAAAAGGCTATATTATAATAACCTTATCAAACTAAATCAAGGTTAAATTCAATATTACATGTAACATTAACTACAGTGCGTCACGAGTAACTAGTTATTCGTGGGCTATATGTCTTTTGATTTTATGAGATTTTGGTTTCAAAAAATGCTATCAGAACATTACAATTTATAATAAAACTTGGAAATTTACAATGAAAACACAGTTTAAAAAAGTGTTTACTTCAAATACAAAGACTTTTCTTTGTTATACATTTGTTGTTGTCTTATTGTTCTAAATTAGCCTGGTTGATAAAATAGTAGTGAAAACAATACAGTTACAATTCAACAACCGGTAATGGAATTAAAAGGCAAACAAAACAAGTCTTACAAAATACAAATTGTAGGTCTAGCAGTCAAAGGGTTAAGCTATAAAATTGTAAAAATTGTATAATATGTACAGGGAGGTGCAGGGGAGCTGCAGTACCATCTGCTACACAATCGGCCGTCATATGTGAGCCGGGCAGAAGACCGCAGACAGTGTATTGCTCAGATGCAGTACTTGCGTGAACTGAGCCACCAAAAAAAGCGACAGCAAATGAGCCTTTCTCAGCCAGACCCACCTATCAGTAAGCTTATCTTACATTTTCATGTTTAATGCAATGATATTCTTGTGATACAAATATTTAATTGGTTAATGGATTACCAATAGTCTAATGAATAGCAAGCTAAGATTGAACATTTCATTATTCAATAAAATTCAAACCAAATTGAGTTCTCTTCTACCTTTAAGTTCTATAATATTGTATTTTCATATTTTGGATGTCTTTGGGGTGTTATGTGATAATTCATTTAACATGCAAATTTCTGGATGAATACAAACGACGTATATTGTCAGGTACAGATAGGAAATAAACAGAAGTTTTGGAAATATGATATATATATATATATATATATATATATATATAGATGATTGTATATTAGATGTTAACTGTTTTGCTTACCATCCTGGTTGTGTACTTCAACTTTGAAACGTAAAATAGTTTTTTTCACAAAACGCAGTTAAAATCTGTTCCCAAACAAAATTATTCAAATAAGTTTTGTTATAATACAAATGTTCCCCAAATACAAAAAGGGTTACTGCCATCAGTTCAGTACAGCATTTTTCTCGGTATTAATTCCATAAAAAATCTCTCCTAAATGTCACCTACAAAATACTTTCCAAAATAGTTCAGAGAAGACTAGAGGAATACACAACAGATATTGTTGGAGAGCATCAAGCAGGATTCAGCAGAGGCAGATCAACGACGGATCAAATCTACATTCTTAAATAGCAAAGTATTATGAGTTCAACAAATCATTCTGCTGCCTCTTCATTGATTTTTCAAAGGCTTATGACTCCATAAATAGAAAGAAGTTGTGAATAAACATGGAGCATCTAGGTATACCAAGAAAACTTATAGAACTAGCAAAATTGAGTGTTTTAGGTTTTAAGTGCAAAGTTAGAGTAAATGGAGACGTATCGGAAGACTTTGAGGTGAACACGGGTGTGAGACAGGGAGACGGGATATCTCCATTGCTGTTCAATTTAGCCATAGAAACAGCCCTTCAGGAAATAAGAAAGACAGAAGTAGGGATTAAGATAGGAACAAACATAAACTTACTAGCTTTTGCAGATGACATAGTATTAATTACACATAGTATAGAAGAAATGAAAGATGTAACAAAAATGCTTATTGAACATACAAGAAAAATGGGGCTATACATAAATGAAGAGAAAACCAAGTTTATGACATGTGGAAGAAAATTAGATGATGACCAACCAAGATACCAAAATAACAACTACATTGAAATTGAAGAGTATAAATTTGAAAAAGTAACAAATTTCAAGTATTTGGGAGTCATCCTCACCAGCGATAATGATGAAGAGCTAGAAATACAAAATAGATTAAACCTAGCACAAAAAAGTTTTTCGGTCTGTCACAAGTTACTAACTTTAAAAATAATATCCCACACCACCAAACTCAGGATTTATAAGACAATCATCAGACCAGTTCTCCTGTATGGTTCAGAAAATTGGATCTTAAGCAAGAAATCAGAAAGGAAAGCTATTGTGTTTGAGAACAAGATTTTGAGGAAAGTGTACGGACCGATTTTTGAGGATGGACAATGGAGATCGAGACATAGTTGGGAACTTAGAGAATTATTTAAGGATCCGGATATTGTTGCTGAGGTGCGGAGCAGAAGACTGAGATGGGCAGGGCATATTCTAAGAAAAGATGACAACTCCCTATCAAAGAACATCTTGAGGAATAACCCAGAAGGTAGAAGACCCCTTGGAAGACCGAAACTTAGATGGTTCGACCAAGTGGAGAAAGACATGAGGAAGCTAGGGAGAAGGAAGGAAGATGCAAGAAGCAGAGACCTATGGAGGCAGTGTGTTGGGGAGGCCAAGTACCATCTAGGGTACCAGTGGCCACAGCAGTAAGTAAGTAATTCCATTTATTACATCCTACAACAATTAGTTATTTTTTATTTACCATCGAAGTCAAAAAGTTGTTAAGCTCAAATTGCACAGTAATACTAATGAGATAAGCGAGATTGCACAATGGATTTATGATGTTGCAAAGTGAGCAGACTACATGCAGGCAGACACATGTAAGCAAGATTTTTATATGAGTTATCAAAATAATACATGCATACTATAACTTTGTATGTTGTTTCATTATATTCTCTTGTCCCTTTAGTGTGATTTTATGTTGTTTGTATTTGTGAATTAAAACATAATCAAACATAAAAAGAACAAATATAAATAAACAAGAGACAGGGGCACAATCAGTTTCAGGTAAGTGGTAATAACACAAAAACACTAGCCTAGCAGCTGACAGAGGCGACTACAAACTTACACAAACAAGCTCTACTACGTTTCACTTTACAGTACTCATTTGCCATAATCCCATTTGGTATAACTCTCATTATCCGGAATAGTGGAGAATTAAATGCAGATATAACTTTTATTTGGCAACAACAGTTTTAATAACACACAATGAGTTTATAACCGGAAAATAGTATTGTAGAAATTGTACAACATTTGAAGTTATTATTACTGTATACTATACAGGGTGTAAAAGTCTGGGTACGGCTTAATATTTGTCAAACAAATACAGATGGAGCACTGGGCATGAACATTATTTTACAACAACTTCAATGAGCCGATACCACTTCAGGGTGACGGCCCACAAGGAGTCGAAGGACAATCTTAAGTAGAAGTATACGTTGATATGCACATCAAATTAAAGGGCTTTGCTAGTAAAATACAATGCTGCAAGTTTGAACCCAAATGGACAACCGAGTCAAAAATGACAGCCGTTCAAAGATTTCTTAAATCTGACATTTTTGACTCGGTTGTTGTTCTTTTGAGTTGTATTAGTAAAAGCAAAGGCTTAAACACACACATCATACTAAAGCACATCAAATTAAAGAATATGATGTGCACATCGACCTAGGCATAAGTTTTTTATTTTCTTCTAAATTCTAGTGAGGCGCCACCTGAGGGGTAGCGTATAGGCTAACATTGCCAATTCAATACATCTTTAAATTACTGTAATTTTGAACTCGGTTGTCCGTTTGAGTTCGGCTTTGTGTTTTACTAACAAATACCTTTAATTTGATGTGTAAATTAACCTATGCTTACATTTAATATTTTCTTCCAACACCTTGTGGGGCGTCCCCCTGAAGTGGTAGCGGCTCATTGAAGTTGTAGTAAATAGTTATTTGTGTAACTAGTGGGCAAAGTGGCACTTTACTGCACACGAGGCGAGTGCGGAATGATCTCGAGTGCAGCAAAAGCCTTTTGCACTCGTGTTACACATTTTATTTTTCCTACAGTCACTATAAAACATATAAATAATTAGTCTTTCAAACACTATAAAAAACGTTTTTAGGTTCAGCTGGCAACACAAATAGGTGCAATAGAGAAAGTAGTACCTGGTCTTGTACTACTATAAACAGTACAAGGAAGCCAACTTTGTCGGGTGACTGTAGGAAAATAGTATTTTATGCACAGTAACAGTGTACCAAGTTATATAGCTCCAGCTGTAACGGTTAAACAAATATTAAGCCTAGACTTTTCAAACACCCTGTATAAGTTTTGACTCCATAAAACCCCCCATAAACCCCCGTTCCCATAGCCCGATCATGCTGGTGAACTCGTTTAAATAAATGTGGGTTTACACGTTTATATCAAATTTAATTAAAATCGGATCATTTTTGCTCGAGTTATCGTGCTAACGGACATATACTGTATATATGTATATATACATATATTTATAAATTATGAAAACTGTAGTGATTAGGTCTACTATTTTGATATAAAAATGCATTATTAAAAACTAAGTACCCTTTTTTTAAATTCATTTTATTTGTTTGGTTTCATTTCATTTGTTTTATTTCACAAAATGTTTCATTCTAGTTGTTTAGTAAAATTAATAAAAAAAAAGGGTACTTAGTTTTTAATAATGCATTTGTATATTTATAAATATTATATAAACCGGGTGTCCAACCACCCGTACACCCCTTTAAAAATGAGGGAAACCTTTTCTTACAAACAACAAATAATACAGAACTAGATCAATTGGTCACAGTCTACCAAATGGTGATAATTTCAAATAAAAAATCACACCGGAAGTGGCTTTTTCAGACCGAAAGGTGACTTTTTTTTAATGTAAACTACCAATTTTGATCACAGAATAGGATTCTACGTTAAAAAATACATAATTTTTGTCTAAAACTTTTTTTGAAAAAAACTACTATTAAAGTCAATGATTTTGGGTCATTCATCTGTCAAAGTTACTTGAAACAATAACAGAAAAAAAACAAATAACAAAGATTACATAAAGACATGTGATAAATAGAATCAGCTGTTTATTGTAAATACTATAGTATTGTAAACACTATAGTATTGTAAACACTATTGTATTGTAAACACTATAGTATTGTAAACACTATAGTATTGTAAACACTATTGTATTGTAAACACTATAGTATTGTAAACACTATAGTATTGTAAACACTATAGTATTGTAAACACTATAGTATTGTAAACACTATAGTATTGTAAACACTATAGTATTGTAAACACTATAGTATTGTGTAAACACTATAGTATTGTAAACACTATAGTATTGTAAACACTATAGTAAATGAGTAACAGCTAAAGAAATCACTTGTTACTTTCTCCCCCTATACCATAGTATATGGAGAAAGTATTGTTTTCGTCAAAATTTTCGAGTTTGAGTTTTGAGTGGATATATTTGTTTTGGGCCCCCCTGGACCCAAAAAAGTGGTTTTCTAAGTGATGTCTGTGTGTGTGTGTGTGTGTGTCTGTGTGTCTGGATGTGTACAGAGCTAGGGACTACACCTGTGGTCCGATTTTGATGAAATTTGGTATGTAGGTTCTAATCCATGGTATCTCCAGGCATTTTTTCATTTTTTTGAAATTTTGATTTTTAATGGGGATTTACCCATAAAAACCCATAAAAATCGGAAAAATCAGATTTTCTCGAAAATGGCCCGAACGAATTTGATAAAAATTTAGTATGTTTTACTATGAATTATACTATTATTATGT